AGTTATTGTATGTTGTCCTTGAACCGCCACCGGGTCGTCCCCTTATATACATGGGTGACGCCCGTCGGTTTACAGAGTCCCAACACCGGTTCATAGATGTGTCCGATTTGGTCTCTACTTATTCCTAACTTACAATACAAGTTACATATTGACACCGGTTTACGGCTACAGGCTCTCAACCGATTATGGGTCTTGAGCCCTCATCTACCTTCATGGGCTTTAACATACTTAACTACTGATGAAGTTAACCCGGCCCAGATAGGCCGGTTTATGCCCAGTAGTAATATCCCCAACATGTTGTCTGACGATGTGGACAGCGAGGATGAAGATGGCCAGAGGAGGTACAACAGGCAAATCCTGAGAGAGCTTTATGCGGGAATGCATAACAGGCGTATTAGGACCTGGAAGGCGGCTATGGATGTCCATTTTGCAACCAAAAGCTTCATGACGCATATCTAAGTGTTCTGGCGCATGCAAGAGGACGGGCCGTTGGCTCCTTCAAGCAAAAGTATTCTCGCAGGGTGGCGCATGGCGCGTACGCTGAGTACCTAGAGAAGCTTCAGGATCGTGTTGGCTGCATGTGAGATGAGATGTGGGATGGATCGAACTATGTACGCTTGAGTATATATGCTTAATGCGGTTGAACTATGTACTTATGGTTGAACTATGCTTATGTACGTGTACGCTTATTATCTATGTCTGAGTATGTTAAATATTTGGTCAAAATTGGGTAAAAATTACAAACAGGGACCAATAAATCAGGACGGAGGTAGTACGTCAATCACACATGGTTCCCAAAATTGGAATCGTGTGCAATGACTTTCATTTTGCCTGTTGCGTCAATCACACACAGTTCGCTCTAGCAAACCATCGCCCCCAAAATTCTTTGTGGGACAGAAAACCCTCACCACCCAATTCAAAAAAGAAAAAAGAAAACCCTCACCATCCCCACATCACCAAAACCCTCACCCCGCCCACCACCCCCTCGGCCCCTCCGGTACGTTCCCGTTCACAACTACACAAGATCCTCCGCGTCTATGCCATGGCACTGCCTATCGCGGCGGTAAACACTTAGCTCGCCGTCTGCCGCCGCCAGGCTGCCGGCAAAGCCCACCGCATTTCGCCACTTCCGCTTGCCACTGCCTATCGCCATCGACTTTCTCATGGACGACAAGGTAACTAATTTAATGAGATATTATCTCATCTCTTATCCCAGTTCATCTGCCTCCTTTAATCATCCGGTGGAAATCACCGTGAATTCATTTTTATTCGAGCTGATTTGAGGGTTTTCTTTCATTCATATAATGTATAGTGTGCCGACACTTCAGGACTTTGTGACCTCCGCAGAGATTTTCATCTCACCGTACCAGATAACTTGAGGATGCACGCGGTATGTTCAGTCTCACCCTAAATCGGTTGGCATGGCCTACTTTCCTGGACATATTCTAAATATTGCTACATTTGGATAAAAGGTGCCACATGCACCATATACGTCAAAGGGGATTTTCTCCCCTCTTCTTTTTATATTAGGCAAATTAATGATGTATTGTTCTTTCGATTACTCTCATATTTCCATGACATCATGTTTACCCCATCTGTTTAATTATAGATTTTTGTCCTTCGATTTTAACTGCTGTACAATTCTTTCAATTTGGGCCCATATTTGCATGTTACCATATTTTCTTTAACAATCCTACCATTTTCTGCAGAACATCCCTTGCTATGCAACAGATTATGTAGTGCATAATTTTCCCTTTATATAGATGAAGGCTCCACGGATGTCATACTGCACACAAACCATGGATTTACAATCGTTGCTACTGTAAGACCTGATGAACATGGTGACTCCTATTTTGGCATTGGCTTTTGGAAAGAAATTGCAAAGTTTTATGTACTGAAAGTTGTCACTAAAATTGCACTACACATAAAAAGGCCTGGTCATGAGATATATGCTAACTTCCCCGACAAAATCATCCATCCAGACTTTGTTCGAAGTAAGATTTCTTTTCAACTATCTGCATGTTGACTTACCCAGCAATGTCAAATGAATTGTGTAGTATTTAAGCAACCAATTGTTATTCCCTTTTCTTACAATATTCCTACCTAATAACTTCTAGTTACCAATACACTTTTCCATTGCCCTGTTTTAACTAAATATTCCCTGTACTCCCATTTCTATCAGAAAGTGCCGCTGACAAGGAGACTCCGGAGGTGGAGAACGGGGCTGCCAACAAGCGGAGCCGGGGCGAGCTAGAACCACAACCGACTCTAGCAGGCCTAGACTTCATCAGCAGCCTCCCCGATGATATGTTGAGAGTCATCATCTCCCTCCTCCCAATCAAATATGGGGCGCGGACAATCGTCCTTTCCCGCCGACGGTGCCCCCTATGGAACTCCAGCCCTCTCGACCTCATTAACACCCACGAGCTCTGCCATGGCTATCACAAAAGCTTGTATGCGTCATCCAAGATCCTCGGCAGTCACCTTGGCCCAACCAAAGGCCTTAGAATGGGCAAGTTCCGTTCCAACGGCAAGGACTGAGCCAAGCTTGATGACTGGTTCCGACCCCCCGCCCTAGATCAGCTCGGGGAGCTCACTTTTGATGATGGGCATATGTGGTCGCTGCCAACGTACGCACTCCGCCTCGCACCCACGCTGCTCATCGCCAAGTTCAAGAACTGCCATCCCCCCTTAATGATGCGCCCGCTCTTATTCTACCACGACTGAAGCACCTCGAGCTCGTCGTCATCTGCCTCTCAAATGGTGACATGAAGCGCCTGGTCCGTGGCTGTACTACACTCGAGTACCTTCGTCTTCAGGCGATCAATGGATTGAGTACCTTCCACATCACCTCCATGACTCCCCGGACTATTTATGTGTGTTGCTGGTGCGGCAGGAAGACGTCACAAGATGTGTACCACGGTATGGTCATTGAGGACACACCTGCACTTGAGAGATTACTTGTAGTTGATCAAGAACGTCCAACAAGAATCAATGTCATTTCTGCGCGAAATTGACAGTGGTGGGCTACTCGTCTCACAAATACTCTGAACTTGTTATTGGATCCAGACCCGTTCAGGTACAACAGCCGCCTTCTACCTCTCCTTCTACAAATTAACATTATTTCTAATTTTGAAGATGTTTGTTCGTCTGTCATTCAGAAAATGATTCCGACAAGCTTGACCCCGAAACTGCGCACAGTGAAGGTCTTGGCACTAGAATCTATCGGCCCCAACTTGGAGCAAGTTGTCAGCTTCCTGAGATGCTTTCCATGCCTGGAGAAGCTATATATCGAGGTGATGTTCCTTTCCTATTAAATGTTAACCATAAGGGAGTTCAAGTTCTCTTAAGGAACTTTTCATCCACTCCAACCTCTTGTGAAGAAGGCTACATTTTTCTAGAATGTAATCAAATGCCCATGTTAATCATGTCAGATCGAAGATGCCATGTTAGTGCATTTTACAAATCCTACAAACCAAGTAGGCATGTAGTAATGTTCAAAACTGCATGTAGGCACTAACATGTTTTCTTCTTTTGCAGATAATATTAGGCCCAGTGGTGGACAATGTGATACAATATAACAATCACGTCGAATGCCTAGATCTGCATCTCTCAGAAATTACTTTGAACTCCTACTGAGGGACCTTACTGGAGATTATATTCGTCGGGTTCTTTGTTCTGATAGCAAGGGTGCTGAAGGAAATGAGGTTTGCCCTACATTTATTTTGCAAAAATGAATGATTTGTTCATCAGTGCTGGCGCTTGCGGCAGAATGGAGTAGGCTCCAAAAATGATGGATTTCATTTTGGAACTTCAGATGACAGAGTAATCGGAAGTCATCGTGTCAACTCCATACATGACTTCTCAGTGGCTGGCCCCTTTGCAAAAATTGTGAGGTTTCGAAACCAGGCTTAGAAGCGGTGATATTAGTTTGAACCTCTTTGATATCCATGTTCAGCGGATCAGCGCGAGCGTTTGCAGCTGATGAGCTGAATTTCATTTCTAATATCAGTTTGAACCTTGTAATCTTCGAATTTGAGCCATATAACTCTGGAATTTGAACCTTGTAATATTTCGAGATTTTGTGGTACAATCGTTGAAATGGCTATGTTCAAAACTGCATGTAGGCACTAAGACTATTTTGACCTTAATATGCAATGGTCTTAGATATTATTAACCATTCTCGAATCAGTTTACCTTGTCGATCTCACATCACATGATCTTTATAGCTAACTCGATTGCGATCTTCGACATTATTGCACATAGTTGGTTTCTTCCATTGTGTGCACTATAGAGCACATAATTAATTATCGCACTCGAGTGTCCATCATCACCCTTTTGTGTAACTTTGACCTCATCACCCATGGATAAACTTATGATCGAAGTCATTCCACACACTTCGTTTTTACAAAGCTTTTTGCCAATAAACACCGACGATTTGTCCCTCTTCTAGTAGACGCGTGGCCAAACTAGTCGGGCGGGAAGCTTGCTCGGTAAATAGCGCAGTAGCACGGGAACAGGCTCACCGACGATACATTTGGCGCCTATTCGAGCCCACGCGTGCAGTGCGGTGTTGTCAAGCGTGCACTGGAATCCTCCGCTATGAACGCCGTGACAAGACGTGACGATTACAGGCCGGCTGTCCCCATTTATTACAGCGGCCATTTAACCCTTGTGTCTCTTCAACCTTTAAATCGCGCCCCACCATTGCAAGAAGCACACCCACCACGAGAAATTCTTAGAGGGTAGCCTGCGCGGCTCCAATGGTGCTTTGAGCGGCTGCCGACGACGAGCAGCAGTTCACCATGCGTGTCGTGGTGGACACCCACAGAAGGTTCATGGACCTCTTGGTGGTGTACACCAATGACCCGGTCTGGGTGGGGCACTCCATCCACATCACGGAGCTATTGCTTGCCCTGAAGAAGTACAAGGTTGTCGGGTTCGACCTCGAGTACACCCGCGCTCGTGCGGGGTCTCGTCCCAAGGTCGCCGTCGCCCAGATGTGTGTGCGCCACCACATCCTCGTCTACCACTACTGCCTGGCCACAAGGCCTTGCGAGCATTTCGCCAGGTTTGTCAACAGCCCCCACTACATGTTCGCTATCGTGGACATCACCAACGATGTAAAGGTGCTCGAGAATTCAGGTATCGCCTGCCAGAATCTTGTCGACATCCAGGGCCAATACAAGATCTGCGACAGCAAGGAGCATGAGAAGGACTCACTAGTTCACCTCGTCGAGGCCATCATCGACCCCTAGTACAGAGACATGAAGGATTCATGCAACAAGGACAAGCGTGCCTGGCACTCGGCCTGGATGGAGAAACTCGACAAAGCTCATGCCGTGTACGTGGCCAAGGAGGCGTACACGAGCTATGACATGTACAGGTGGATCTTTGACATGAGGAAGTGCCTCCTTCCCAAAACGGCCAGGGATCTAGCCGGAAGCAGAGCAATGGCAAGCGTCGTTGCAACAATAAGTAGATGATTAGATCCTCGTTTCTCCTACTTTAGTATGCATGTAATTGCTTACTTTGGTGTGTGGAAATGTTATGTGTGTAGTCACTTGTGTAACTGTATGCTTAATTTGGTTATGCAATGCTGTCTTCTTAAGTATATATGTTGATGCTCTGTAGATATAGCATAGATGTTGTGCGGACAAAGAAAATCACATCGCACACGGACTAAATAATGGAACCCGTCGGTGATGTTTTCATCAATCACTCATAATTGTATACCAGCAACCCTTTGCTCACAACACACACAGCTTGTTAGTAGTAATCGTTTGTGTTGTTATCGATCTTCACACACGTTTCTGATTACAAACATGTTTGCCTCGTATCACACACATCTTATTCATTTGAGCCATTTCTGCTCTCATGTCTCAACGCAAACAGTTCACCCGAGTGAACCGCATGTTGTATATCACACACACCTTTGATCTGGCTGACCGTTTCTTTTGTGTTACCTAATCACAAACAGTTCATCCGAGTGAACCGTATGCTGTACATCGCACACACCTTCAGCTGGCTGCCCGTTTCTTTTGTTCCTCCTCATTGCAAATAGTTAATTGAGCTGAAGTGTATGCCCTGCATCGCACACGCAACTAAAATCTGAACCATGTTTGATGCATCCTCCATCGCAAACATTTTGCACCTTTTTTGACAGTTTTTTACACCACCGTTTGCGATTATGGCATCACACACACTTTCGTCGAAGGGTCTTTGATCGTAGTGTCACGTTAGCAGCAACCTGTAGTAGTGCTTGTTCGCGTTGGGTGCAAGGATTTGGTATTTTGTGTGCAGGTACTGCTAATGTGTTGTGTGGTTCTCGTGCTGGATTGATAACGTTGGTTCTTAACTGAGGGAAATACTTATATCTATTGTACTACATCATCCCTGAGGGAGTCCTGGACTAGGGGGTCCTCGGGATGCCGGCCCAATCTTCATGAGCCGGACAGTTGGGCCGCACTATAGTTGCGGGAAGGCCGGACTATTATGCAGCATCGTGCCCGGACAGGAGATCCTTTGTATCTTGGTGTGTACGTCAGGATGAGAAGAGAAGAATTGGCATGTTTATCCTCTTGTTGTAACTTACATATGTAACCCTAGTACCCGTAGTGTCTATATAAACTAGATGGTTTAGTCCGTAGGGGCCAGAATCACAACCATCATCCTACTAGTTTAGGGTTTAGTTCATCTGATCTTGTGGTAGATCGACTCTGCAATCCTCATATACACAAGCAACATAATGAAGCAAGACATAGGGTTTTACCTCTTCGAGAGGGCCCAAACCTGGGTAAACATCATGTCCCTAATTGTCGGTGTCAAAATCGGCAGATCTCGGGTAGGGGGTCCCGAACTGTGCGTCTAAGGCGGATGGTAACAGGAGGCGGGAGACACGATGTTTACCTAGGTTCGGGCCCTCTCGATGGAGGTAATACCCTACGTCCTGCTTGATTGATCTTGATGATATGAGTATTACAAGAGTTGATCTACCACGAGATCGTAGAGGCTAAACCCTAGAAGCTAGCCTATGGTATGATTGTCTGTTGTCCTACAGACTAAACCCTCCGGTTTATATAGACACCGAAGAGGGCTAGGGTTACACAGAGTCGGTTACAAGGGAGGAGATCTACATATCCGTATTGCCAAGCTTGCCTTCCATGCCAAGGAGAGTCCCATCCGGACACGGGACGAAGTCTTCAATCTTGTATCTTCATAGTCCAACAGTCCGGCCAAAGGATATAGTCCTGCTGTCCGGAGACCACCTAATCCAGGACTCCTTCAGTAGCCCCCAAACCAGGCTTCAATGATGATGAGCCCGACATGCAGATTGTCTTCGGCATTGCAAGGTGGGTTCTTCTCCAAATTCTGAATATCTGCTGAGTAGTGTCCGGCTCCTCATAAATATTGCACTTCTTGGCTTCCGTGCCCAATAAGGGCTATCTTACACGTGTCGAGCGAATGCGAGGAGCCAGGGCATTTTTACATTTTCCACCCTAGCCATATAAGTAAACTGTCTATTAAAGAGACTGGGATTCTTAGATCCATACCACACCATCCTCCCACGGCGAGTATCCATCGGAGCACGCTCGGAAAAATCCATTCCAACATGGTCGGCCATCGCAGCTCCTCCTCCCGCTCCCGTAGCCCTAAGCCCGATGATTGGGAGAAGTGTTCCGTCCCGCACAGCCAATTAGCACAGTTACAGACCCATGGATTTCTCCCTCCAGCGTATATGGTCCACATTCGAGCCGGGCTTGCCACCTATAATGGCGGGGAGCAAGTGGAGAGCTTCCCCAATCCCTCCAAGGGGGAGCGGGTATGCCTTGTCCCTTATTTACTCAGAGGACTTGGATTTCCAATCCATCCGTTCCTCCATGGGCTCCTGGAGTTTTATGGCCTCCAGTTGCATAAATTCACCCCCGCTTCCATATTACACATCGCTGGTTATGTTGCCCTTTGTGAGTTGTTTCTGGGTTGCGAAGCTCATTTCAAGATGTGGAAGAGGCTATTCTGCCTTGTGCCCCGTACACAGAAGGGGTCAATATATCAAGTGGACGGAGCCGAAATATGGCGCATCACCGGGACCGGATACCTGTCTGGTACCCCGAAGAAGACTTCTGAAGACTGGCCTTCGGAGTGGTTTTACCTGGAGGACGTACCCCTTCCAGATCCTATTCGGATGGGTCTTCCCGAGTTCGACAATGCCCCTTTGAAGAAACACCGAAGTTGGCGCCCATGGAGCCCTCAGGAGGAAGATAACGGAGAAGTCCTTTACCTGATGGACCGGATAAAAGTGCTGGCTCAATCAGGACTGACAATAATCGAGGTTATGTCAATATGTATAGTGCAGGGGGTGCATCCACTTCAATATCGAGGGAACCCCATGTGGCACTTTAACGAGGAAGATGATGCCACCCACTGCGGGCGTAAGGGACCGGACTCAGCTACTGCTCTAGCAAAAATTCTGTCCGATTTGTTCAAGGGAGAGGAAGAGGAGTTCATCCGTATTAAGCCACGGGATGGATTCTCCATGTACAACCCTCCAAGCTGGGTGAGTTGTCACTTTTTACTCCCAACCTTCCCGCATTCTTTGTCATAAATACTCACCTTTCCGTTTCATGGCAAGAACTGCGAAAAGCTGTAAGGGAGGTCAACAACCCACCTCCACAACCAGAGGACCCTGACCGGGCCCTCGATCCCGGACTCGAAGAGGATCCGGACATATTTGTGGAGTTGATTGACAGGACATTCTATCAATTGAGATGCGACGATGCCATGGTGGCCATCATAGCCGACTATCCTGGGCTACTCCCTGCATCGCATGTAAGAAAAACCGGAGTCCCGACTTCCGAGAAGGATCCCCTTTTATGCACTTCACCTACCGTACACCCATGGTGTTTTACAGGGAAGGCCCTCGGGACGCCATGCCGAACCCGCAGTGACTCGCCAACAAGGGACACCGAAGCCGGATAGGCCAAAAAGGAAGGCGGTCAGGACTGAGACGTTGGCGCAGAGGTATGATACAGAACCTCGCTCCGTGGTTGTCGTCTTTCTTAAAATATAATGACGTCCATGTTTCCTAGTAGGAAAAATGCTCGCCGGACTATATCCGGAGAGGTTGCCGATCATGCCTCCACCAGTCGGGCTCCGGGGTCGGACATAGAGGTGAAAGCTAACACGGGGTGAACGCCGGATGCTCCTCCTACAGAGGATGCGGATAGACTATCCGCTACAAATTCCTAAGTGGAGAGCGCCATGAATCACAGGCATTGCCGGGCCGTACTCCGTGACGCTTGCTTCTCCCAAGAGGCGTTCGATGCCTTTAACTCAGGAGATTGTACATCCGTGCTGCTCAAAACGGTCTTGCCAGAGCCACGGACCAGTATGTAAAGGATATACGGGTAAGAAAATCTGACAATTATATATATCAGTAGCCCCTGAGACTTGAAACAGTTGACACAACAGATTTAAGGATCATTATGTGTGCAGGTTCTTACAGAGAAGAATACCCAATTGTCTCAAGAGCTGGAAGAGTGCAAAGCCCAGCTACGGGCCACGGTTGCCGTGTTGAAGGAGTCCGAGAAGGCCCCTCTGGTAACACTTGTTTCCATTACAAAGAATGATAGGTACCAGATAGTATGCGGCATGCATGCAAATCTAACAATAGATGTTGCAGATGACTTCGGAATGAATCCGGAGGCCGTGGCGGAGAATGCGCAACGTGCTAATCAACGGCTAAATGTTGGCGAGGGCGTGCTTACGTGGGTCAGGCAGGAGAAAAATAATCTCCAAGACGCCAATATCTAACTGGGCGTGGAACTGAAAGATGTCCGAGCCCAGCTTGCGGACTCCGTGAAGGAGAATAAGCGGATCTGACGCGGCATTTTCAGTAAGTGCTTGAACGAACTTTTGAAAGAGTTTGGTGAAGAAGCCGGCTAACAGAGTTATGTCTACAGGTATGCTGACGGGTCGTCCCATAGAGGAGATGCCCGGGTCTACGGGTGATCTTCTACCAGAGCTCACACAACTGCACGAACAAGTTCGGTAGGTGATGCAGGGTATTGCCCAAGCCTTGTGGCCATCCGCATCCCCACCAGGAGGCATGGGGGTGCTTATAGAGAAGCTCAAGGGAGCGCGGCGGCGCTTCCGATTATGGAAGATATTAGCCTGCCGACAACGTGCAAGGGAAGCCTGGGCCATGGTGAAGACGCGATATACCAAAGCTGACCCAAACCACATGGCCGAGGTCGGACCTATGGGGCCTGATGGGAGAGAGATCCCCGTCAGTTTGGTGTATGACCAAGTAGAATTAGCCGCGAAGTATTCCCAACAGGATTGTAGGCTAGACAGCCTGTTGGATGGTATAGAGGAAGAATTTAGTCAGTCTTAGTGACTGTGTACTTCAAGTGACATATATAATGTCCCTAGCCGGATTGTAAATCATTTGTCATGGTGGACCTTTTCGCTTCGACCTCTGGACCCGATAGTCCGGAGTGTATCCGAATACCCACTCGGTTATGTAAAAACCGAGGTATGCGTGTAAACCAGGCGTAGGGGTCATAAGTGCTTGAACAGACAAGTACCCAACTAGCTATGTTATATTACATGGATAGTAAGAAACATCTTCCAGGGAGAATAGTTCCGTTAAGGGTTCCTTTCCCTGGGTACGCATCCCCTAATGTGCATGTCCGAATTACGAAAAGAGACACAGGCTAAAAACATCTGGGGGCATGTATCAAAAATAAATAAAAGTCATCTTTTGTTCACCGACCGAATATTCCCTTAAGAACGCTAGCTTTCGGCTTCACCCAGTCTGAGGTACACATCCGGCTGACCCAGCAGTAATAATCACAGAGGTGCTCCCCTTATGCCCTAGCCGAATTAACGGGAATGTAGAGCATAAATACAAGAGCTAGGCAACCCAGCTTGGCCAAAACTTAAGTCATATCGATGCATATAATGGAGAAAAAAGGTACATGTGGAAGAACAACACATGTGTGGGGCATAAAGCATAGTAAAATAATTATATTAAGCTTCTGTATAAGAAGCCCCTAGATATAATGAGCGCGGTTAGCGCGTCAAGATTGTGTAGTCAAGACACAAGTTAGCCTTTTAAGGCCTTGAGGAGAAGAAAAAAGAAGAGAGAAAAGACAGATAATGGATATGCAAAAAATTGACGGGGGTAAGGAGACGAACATAGAGTCCGGCACTAGGCATAGAATCTTTGGAGTCTGGCTGCGTTCCATGGGTTTGGCTCGAGTCGATTGTCTGATGCATCCCGCACACGGTGCGCTCCACCGGTCAGAACCTGGTCAATAATGAAGGGACCTTCCCATTTGGGCTTGAGCTTGTTCTTTTTCTTCTCCGGCAGGCGTAGAACTAGTTCGCCAACGTTATAGGTTTTGGCCCGTACTTCTCTGCTTTGATACTTTCGAGCCTGTTGCTGATAGAATGCGGAACGGGATTTTGCCACGTCGCGCTCCTCCTCCAGGGCGTCCAAACTGTCCTGCCGATCGAGCTCGGCCTCTTTTTCTTCGTACATGCGCACTCGAGGTGAGTCATGAATTATGTTGCAAGGCAGAATCGCCTCTGCACCGTACACCATAAAGAACGGTGTGTATCCGGTAGTGCGATTCGGTGTGGTCCGTAGCCCCCATAGTACGGAGTTGAGCTCCTCTACCCAGTGTGTGTTTGATTCCTTTAAGGACCGCACTAATCTGGGTTTGATGTCGCTCATGATAAGACCATTTGCTCGCTCGACTTGACTGTTAGTTTGCGGGTGATAGACAGAAGCATAATCGAGCTTGATGACCATGTTGCTACACCAAAGTTTTACCTTGTCGGCTGTAAAGTTCGTGCCGTTGTCAGTGATGATGCTGTGGGGGGTGCCATAACGGTGTACAACCCCAGATATGAAGTCTATCACCGGTCCAGATTCAGCCGTTTTAACGGGTTTGGCTTCTATCCATTTGGTGAATTTATCCACCATGACCAATAAGTATTTTTCTTATGGGTTCCCCCTTTGAGGGGTCCGACCATATCAAGCCCCGAGACCGCAAAGGGCCAAGTAATGGGGATTGTTTGGAGAGCGGTAGGCGGCATATGGCTTTGGTTTGCAAAAAGATGGCAACCGACACAACATTGGACCAGATCCTGTGCATCTGCTCGGGCCATCGGCCAATAGAAACCTGTACGGAAGGCCTTGCTTACAAGGGCCCGGGCTGCCGCGTGGTGGCCGCCGAGTCCAGCATGGATTTCTGCCAAAAGCTTCCGCCCTTCCTCTTCAGAGATGCACCTTTAAGGACTCCGATAGTGCTTTTCTTATAAAGCTATCCCTCATGGACCTTGTAGGCTTTAGATCGCCGCACTATGCAGCGTGCCTCTTTTTGGTCCTCGGGTAGTTCCTGCCTGGTTAGGTAGGCCAGGAATGGTTCTGTCCATGGGGCGATGACAGCCATTATCACGTGGGCTGAAGGTGTTATTTCGATGGCAGAGCCTCCGATTGTGTCAGAATGTTCGGTATCTGGTGTTGTGGCCGGGTCCGGACTATTGTTACCGGTGTCCCCTTCCCATACCACGGATAGCTTAAACAGCCTTTCCAAGAAGATGTTAGGTGGGACAGGATCGCGCTTAGTGCTGATACGGGCGAGGATATCCGCCGCCTGATTGTTTTCCCGAGCCACATGGTGGAATTCAAGCCCCTCGAACCGAGCTGACATTTTTTTGACAGCAAGACTATAAGGGAACCCCCTACAGTATAATTGGTGCAACAAACCTAAATTGCAAGTACCATGCTTTGAACCTGGGTGGGTGGGAACCGAGATGACATTTTGAGGACGGTGTTGCGATATGCCGCCATTTTTGGATCCTTGGCATCGAAGTCTCCATTTAGTTGGGATATTGCAAGGTTCGAGTCCCCACGCACCTCCAGGCGTTGAATGCCCATGGAAACTGCCATCCGGAGACCATGTAATAGGGCCTCGTATTCGGCTGCGTTGTTGGAGTCTATGTATAGTATTTGGAGTACGTATTGGACTGTATCTCCGGTGGGGGACGTCAGGACGACGCCAGCCCGTAGACCAGCCAGCATTTTAGAGCTGTCAAAGTGCATGATCCAATTGGAGTACGCGTCGTACTCTTTAGGGAGTTCGGCTTCTGTCCACTCGGCGACGAAATCGGCCAGTAGTTGCGACTTAATGGCTCGCTGTGGTCTATATGTTATGTCGAACGGGAGGAGCTCTATAGCCCATTTGGCAATCCGGCCCATGGCATCGCGGTTGTTTATTATGTCATTGAGTGGTACTTCTGAGGCCACCGTAATTGAACACTCTTGAAAGTAGTGTCGTAGTTTCCGGGATGCCAGGAATACCGCGTATGCTATCTTTTGATAATGTGGGTACTGTGATTTGCATGGAGTGAGGAGAATGGATACATAATATACCGGCTTTTGAAGTGGGAATTTATGTCCGTCTGTCTCTCGTTCGATGACGAGCACTGCGCTTACAACTTGGTGAGTTGCTGCTATATATAACAGCATTGGTTCACCGACATTTGGCGCGGCCAAGATTGGGTTGGTGGCCAGGATGGCTTTTATTTCTTCCAATCAGGCCGTGGCTGCGTCCATCCACTCGAAGTGTTCGGTGCGCCGAAGAAGGCGATAAAGGGGGAGTGCCTTTTCTCCTAATCGGGAGATAAAGTGGCTTAAGGCCGCCACACATCCAGTTAACTTCTGGATTTTCTTGAGGTCAGTTGGGATAGCCAAATGCGGCAGAGCTCGTATTTTAGCCGGATTTGCTTCAATTCCTCTACTGGAGACGATGAAGCCCAAGAGCTTTCTGGCGGGTACGCAGAAATGCATTTTCGGATTGAGCTTACTGTTATATGTTCGAAGATTGTCGAACGTGAGCCTCAAGTCGTCTATTAAGGAGTCGACATGTCTGGTTTTAACGACCACATCATCTACGTATGCCTCCACTGTTTTGCTGATCTGCTTTTCCAGACATGTCTGAATCATGTGTTGATATGTTGCGCCGGTGTTTTTGAGCCCGAAGGGCATTGTGTTAAAACAGAAGGGCCCGTATGGAGTGATAAATGTCGTTGCGGCTTGATCAGACTCCGCCATCTTGATTTGGTGGTAACCAGAGTATGCGTCGAGGAAGCACAATGAGTCGTGTCCTGCGGTGGCGTCGATAATTTGATCGATGCGAGGGAGGGGGAAGGGATCCTTTGGGCAGGCCTTATTAAGGTCCTTGAAGTCGACGCATAGGCGCCAGGATTTTTCCTTCTTTGGTACCATTACCAGGTTTGCTAGCCAGTCCGGATGTTTTATTTCTCTAATGAATCCGGCCTCCAGTAACTTGGCTAGCTCCTCTCCCATGGCTTGTCTCTTAGGTTCGAAGAAACGCCGAAGAGTCTGCTTGACCGGCTTGAATCCCTTTAGAATGTTAAGGCTATGCTCGGCCAGCCTGCGTGGGATTCCTGGCATGTCTGAAGGATGCCAGGCGAATATGTCCCAATTCTCGCACAGGAACTCCCGTAGTGCAGCGTCTACAGCGGGGTTTAATTGTGCCCCGATGGATGCTGTTTTTGTTGGGTCCGTTGGATGGACTTGGAATTTGACTATTTCATCCGCTGGTTTAAAAGAGGTGGACTTGGATCTTTTGTCGAGTATCACGTCGTCCCTGTCCACTATGGAGCGTAGCGCGGTTAATTCCTCCGCCGCAAGGGCTTCGGATAATGCCTCGAGGGCCAGTGCGGCTGTTTTGTTCTCGGCGTGGAGTGCTATGTCCGGATCACTAGCTAGAGTGATGATTCCATTGGGCCCGGGCATTTTGAGCTTCATGTACCCGTAATGGGGTATGGCTTGGAAGATCGTGAATGCCTCCCGCCCTAGAAGGGCGTGGTATCCGCTACTGAACGGGGCCACTTGGAATGTAATTTCTTCGGACCTGTAATTCTCCGGAGTGCCGAATACCACATCTAGTGTGATCTTCCCAGCGCAACATGCCTCCTGGCTGGGGATGATTCCTCGGAAGGTCGTGCTGCTTTGCTCAATACAGTTTCTATCTATTTCCATTTTTTAAAGAGTCTCCTCATAAATGAGGTTTAATCTGCTGCCGCCGTCCATGAGCACTTTAGTAAGCTGAAAGTCGTCCATAATTGGACTGAGGACCAAGGTGGCTGGTGCTCGGCTGTTCGGAATTTAGGTTTGTCACTGGCATTGAAGGTGATAGCTGTGTCGCTCCATGGATTTATTGCTGCCACGTGGCAGACTTCGGCAAGGCTGCGGAGTGCTCGCTTACGCCTATTATTTGAGGCGAAGGTCTCGAAGACTGTCAATACAGTATTGTTATCCACGGGATGGTGCTCTGCGGTGTTTTGAATGGGGAGATCCTCACCACTCTTGGCCACCAGCCGGAGTACCCAACATGCTCTAAGGCTATGTGTTGGTATGGTATCCGTTGTACTATGAATTTTGCAGGGCCCGTTAAGCCATCCCTCCAATACGGTTCCATGCCCTGTAGTGGGCTTTTGCTTCTTTGTAATTGAGTCAGGCGACTTATGAGAGTGCACCCTTTTAGTTCAGACTGGGGGTTTTTCAGAGCCGGATTATCCCAAAATTTTGTTTGGGTTTTCCCGGCGCTTTCCATCGCATAGTACTTTTGTACTATGGCCGCCAAGTCAGCGAAGTGTGCTATGTCACTGCGACTTATGGCGTTGAGGATTCCCTTGTCTATGCAATTGTTGCAAAAGAATGAAATTGCGTCTTCCTCACGACAGTCCTTGACCTTGTTCATTACAAGGAGGAATCTGGCCCAATAGTGATGTACTGTCTCTTGGGGCTCTTGCCTAATGTGGGAAAGATCGTTTATATCTGGGTGGGTGGGTGGATTTAAGTCCAGACCTTGACCCAATCTGAGACCCAGGGGCGGGGGAGTTTCCGATCTTGGAAGTTCGGGCTCCGGGATGTTGGCCCGCAGGTTTGGTATGCCGCCTGATTCTAGGTTCAGGGTTAGGACGATGTCCTCCTGTGGACGGGTATCCGGCTCGGAGAGCTCGGGAATCTGGACATAGTTCATCCTCAGGATAGAGGAAGAATCGCCGCATTGCTCCTCCACCATCGCTATCTGATGGGTGACCGGCGGAGAGTTAATCTCCCTTTGGTCGGGTTTAAGCCCAATCCGATCGTAGTCTGTAGCGCCTCCTAGAGCGGCGATGTGATCCAAGAGCTCATTCAAAGAGGATCCATCTGCTCGGCGAATTTCAAGCCGATGTGGAGGCTATTTTCGATGACCCGAGAAGTCATCGTCGGTGCAGCGGCCGAGCGGGCAGTCATGACGAAGCCGCCTAGTCGGAGAGTTTGGCCTACAGTCAGGGCTCCCCCAGAGGTGATGTTGTTCTTGACATGAGACGAGCCATCCCTCCTTATGATGACGACAAAGTGGAACTCTCAATGAAAGAACCAATGTCGGTGTCAAAACCGGCGGATCTCGGGTAGGGGTCCCGAACTGTGCGTCTAAGGCGGATGGTAATAGGAGGCGGGGGCACGATGTTTACCCAGGTTCGGGCCCTCTCGATGGAGGTAATACCCTATGTCCTGCTTGATTGATCTTGATGATATGAGTATTAAAAGAGTTGATCTACCACGAGATCATAGAGGCTAAACCCTAGAAGCTAGCCTATGGTATGATTGTCTGTTGTCCTACAGACTAAACCCTCTGGTTTATATAGACACTGAAGGGGGCTAGGGTTACACAGAGTCAGTTACAAGGGAGGAGATCTACATATCTGTATTGCCAAGCTTGCCTTCCACGCCAAGGAGAGTCCCATCCGGACACGGGACGAAGTCTTCAATCTTGTATCTTCATAGTCCAACAGTCCGGCTAAAGGATATAGTCCGGCTGTCCGGAGACCCCCTAATCTAGGACTCCCTCACTAGTCCCTTGTTCCCCATTGATCCAATATCCACAGCCCAGGACCCCCTACCCGAGATCCGCCAATTTTGACACCGACAATCCCCTCCTCTTTGGGGAAATCGCAACACAGCTCACAAGTAGCACCCGACAACGTCGACCAAGGGAGCACCCGCATGCTGCAACTGCGACAACCACAAGCTACAGTTGGCGCCGACCACTGACACCACACTGGGAAGGGTGTCCACCAGTACTACAATCGACGCAGACCATTGATGGGAACAAAGGAGGACAAGGGCTGCGAGAAGGGAGTGGGCTCTGCAGCCTCCGATGCAGGCACAAGGATGACCCCGAGGATGAGCGTCGGTGCTGCGAGCATGAAGGCGTCGGGGCTGTGGGCTCCTGCAAGTGGTGCAAATGAGGTAGATCGAACGGCCCATAGTGATCCAATTCTACAGTATGGGAGGTGACTGGTCAAGGCTTCCGTCGGACGACCGGCTCCTAGTGCCGCCCCTTGTAAAAGGGGACATGATTCTAATCAAAACTAAAGAAACAACAAGGAATTTTTTTTTGATCCAGTTGGCTGGCTAGCATTCATTAATTTAGCGGGAAGCAATGGATAAGATTGTTGATTGCTACCTCTTGAGCTTGCGTTGGATTTCCCCGAAGAGGAAAGGATGATGCAGTAGAGTAGCATAAGTATTTCCCTCGGTTTTTGAGAACCAAGGTATCAATCCAGTAGGAGGCCACGCTCAAGTCCCTCGTACCTGCACAAAATGATAGCTACTCGCAACCAACACGATTAGGGGTTGTCAATCCCTTCACGGTCACTTACGAGAGTGAGATCTGATAGATATAATATTTTTTGGTATTTTTGGTATAGAGATGCAAAGTGAAAAGTAAAAGGCAAAGTAAAAAGCAAAGCAAGATTAAAGTGATGGAGATTGATATGATGAGAGTAGACCCGGGGGCCATAGGTTTCACTAGTGGCTTCTCTCAAGAGCATAAGTATTATACGGTGGGTGAACAAATTATTGTTGAGCAATTGACAGAATTGAGCATAGTTATGAGAATATCTAGGCATGATCATGTATATAGGCATCACGTCCGTGACAAGTAGACCGAAACGATTTTGCATCTACTACTATTACTCCACTCATCGACCGCTATCCAGCATGCATCTAGAGTATTAAGTTAAAAACAAAGTAACGCTTTAAGCAAGATGACATGATGTAGAGAGATAAATTCATGCAATATGAAATAAACCCGTTCTTGTTATCCTCGATGGCAATGATACAATACATGCCTTGCTGCGCCTTCTGTCACTGGGAAAGGACACCGCAAGATCAAACCCAAAGCTAAGCACTTCTCCCATGGCAAGAACTACCAATCTAGTTGGCCAAACCAAATGGATAATTCGAAGAGACTTGCAAAGATAACCAATCATACATGAAAGAATTCAGAGAAGATTCAAATATTATTCATAGATAGACTTGATCATAAACCCACTATTCATCGGTCTCAACAAACACACCGCAAAAAAGAAGAAGATTACATCGAATAGATCTCCACGAGAGAGGGGGAGAACTTTGTATTGAGATACGAAAAGAGAGAAGAAGCCATCTAGCTAATAACTATGGACCCAAAGGTCTGAGGTAAACTACTCACACTTCATCGAAGAGGCTATGATGATGTAGAAGCCTTCCGTGATGACGGCCCTCTCCGGCGGAGCTCCGGAACAGGCCCCAAGATGGGATCTCGTGGATACAGAAAGTTGCAGCGGTGGAATTAGGTTTTTGGCTCCCTCTCTGTTCGTTTGGGGGTACGTAGGTATATATAGGAGGAAGAAGTACGTCGGTGGAGCTTCGGTGGGCCCACGAGGGTGGGGGCGCGCCTGGGGGTGTAGGGCGTGCCCCCTACCTCGTGCCCACCTTGAAGCTTCCTTGGTGTAGGGTCCAAGTCTCCCGGGTCATATTCGTGAAGAAAATCACGTTCCAAAAAGGTTTATTCCGTTTGGACTCCGTTTGATATTCTGTTTCTACGAAACACTGAAATAGGCAAAAAAACAACAATTCTGGGTTAGGCCTCCGGTTAATAGGTTAGTCCCGAAAATAATATAAAAGTGGAAAATAAAGCCCAATATAGTCCAAAACAGTAGATAATATAGCATGGAGCAATCAAAAATTATAGATACGTTGGAGACGTATCAGGCATCCCCAAGCTTAATTCCTGCTCGTCCTCGAGTAGGTAAATGATAAAAAGAGAATTTTTTATGCGGAGTGCTACTTGGCATAATTTAAATGCAAATCTTCTTAATTGTGATATGAATATTCAGATTCGAAAGATTCAAGACAAAAGTTTATATTGACATAAAAATAATAATACTTCAAGCATACTAACAAAGCAATTATGTCTTCTCAAAATAACATGGCTAGAGAAAGTTATCCCTACAAAATCATATAGTCTGGCTATGCTCTATATTCACCACACAAAGTATTTAAATCATGCACAACCCCGATGACAAGCCAAGCAATTGTTTCATACTCTAACTTTTTCAAAACTTTTTCAATCTTCACGCAATACATGAGCGTGAGCCATGGATATAGCACTATATGTGGAATAGAATGGTGGTTGTGGAGAAGACAAAAAGAGGGGAAGATAGTCTCACATCAACTAGGTGTATCAACGGGCTATGGAGATGCCCATCAATAGATATCAATGTGGGTGAGTAGGGATTGCCATGCAACGGATGCATTAGAGCTATAAGTATATGAAAGCTTGTCAAAAGGAACTAAGTGTGTGTGCATCCAACTTGCTTGCTCATGAAGACCTAGGGCATTTTGAGGAAGCCCATCATTGGAATATACAAGCCAAGTTCTATAATGTAAAATTCCCACTAGTATATGAAAGTGACATAACGAGAGACTCTCTATCATGAAGATCATGGTGCTACTTTGAAGCACAAGTGTGGTAAAAGGATAGTAACATTGTCCCTTCTCTCTTTTTCTCTCACTTTTTTTATTTGGACCTTTTCTCTTTTTTTATGGCCTCCCTTTTTTTCTTTTTTTTTCATCCGGAGTCTCATCCCGACTTATGGGGGAATCATAGTCTCCATCATTCTTTCCTCACTTGGGACAATGCTCTAAAAATGATGATCATCACACTTCTATTTTTCTTACAACTCAACAACTCGATACTTAGAAGAAAATATGACTCTATATGAATCAAGAGTGACATGTATGAAATAATTATGAACGGTGGCTTTGCCACAAATACGATGTCAACTACATGATCATGCTAGCAATATGACAATTATGGAGCGTGCCATAATAAACGGAACGGTGGAAAGTTGCATGGCAATATATCTCGGAATGGCTATGGAAATGCCATGATAGGTAGGTATGGTGGCTGTTTTAAGGAAAGTATATGGTAGGTGTATGATACCCGTGAAAAGTGTGCAGTATTAGAGAGGCTAGCAATGGTGGAAGGATGGGAAAAAGTGCATATAATCCATGGACTCAACATTAGTCATAAAGTACTCATATACTTATTACAAAAATCTAGAAGTTATCAAAGCAAAGTATTACGCGCATGCTCCTAGGGGGGATAGATTGGTAGGAAAAGACCATCGCTCGTCCCTGACCGCCACTCATAAGGAAGACAATAAATAAATAAATCATGCTCCGACTTCATCACATAACGGTTCACCATACATGCATGCTACGGGAATCACAAACTTTAACACAAGTATTCTTTAAATTCACAACTACTCAACTAGCATGACTCTAATATTATCACCTCCATATCTCAAAACAATTATCATGCTTCAATCTTTTCTTAGTATTCAATGCACTCAAAAGAAAGTTTCACAAATCTTGAATACCAAGCATGTTATTATTAAGCAAATTACCATGCTATTAAGAGACTCTCAAAATAATTTAAGTGAAGCATGAGAGATCAATAGTTTCTTTAAAACAAATCCACCATCGTGCTCTAAAAGATCTAAGTGAAGCACATAGAGCAAAATTATAACGCTCAAAAGATATAAGTGAAGCACACAGAGCAAAACTACATAGCTCAAAAGATATAAGTGAAGCACAAAGAGCAAAACTACTTAGCTCAAAAAGATATAAGTGAAGCACATAGAGCAAAACTACTTAGCTCAAAAAGATATAAGTGAAGCACATAGAGCAAAACTACTTAGCTCAAAAAGATATAAGTGAAGCACATAGAGTATTCTATCAAATTCTAATTCATGTATGGCTCTCTCAAAAGGTGTGTACAGCAAGGATTATTGTGGCACACTAAAACACAAAGACACAAATAATTCAAGACGCTCCAAGCAAAACACATATCATGTTGGTGAATAAAAATATAGCTCCAAGTAAATTACTGATGGAAGTGGACGAAAGAGGGGATGCCTTCCGGGGCATCCCCAAGCTTTGAATTTTTGGTGTCTTTAGATTATCTTGGGGGTGCCATGGGCACCCCCAAGCTTAGGCTCTTGCCACTCCTTGTTCCATAATCCGTCAAAAGAATTCACCCAAAACTTGGAAACTTCACAACACAAAACTCAATAGAAATCTCGTGAGCTCCGTTAGAGAAAAAAAACAAAAGACCACTTCAAGGTACTGTAATGAACTCATTATTTATTTATATTGGTGTTAAACCTACTGTATTCCAACTTCTCTATGGATTATAAACTATTTTACTAGCCATAGATTCATCAAAATAAGCAAACAACACACGAAAAACAGAATCTGTCAAAAACAGAACAGTCTGTAGTAATCTGTAGCTAGCGCAAGATATGGAACCCAAAAAATTCTAAAATATATTGCTGGACGTGAGGAATTTATCTATTAATCATCTGCAAAAATAATTAACTAAATAGCCCTCTCCAAATAAAAATGACAGCAGTTCTCGTGAGCGCTAAAGTTTCTGTTTTTTACAGCAAGTTCAACAAGACTTTCCCCGAGTCTTCCCAACGGTTCTACTTGGAACAAACACTAATTAAACACAAAAACACGACCAAAACAGAGGCTAAATAAATTATTTATTACTAAACAGGAGCAAAAATCAAGGAATAAAAATAAAATTGGGTTGCCTCCCAACAAGCGCTATCGTTTAACGCCCCTAGCTAGGCATAAAAGCGAGGATAGATCTAGGTATTGCCATCTTTGGTAGGCAATTCTTCAATGAGGCATATATCTTTCTTAGAAATTTCTTCCTTTATAGTAATTATCAAACTTTTAGGCACAAGATCAAAAAATTCATTCGTAGCATAAGGTTCCTTAATGATAGCAAAAATATCGGGATGAATGCTTATAGATTTAAGATCCGCAGTTTCCTTACTAGATGATTCACCCTTATTCTTAGGAACATACATAAGCTTGGTAATTTTAGTGGGAGGACTAGAAGTATT